TTCGTGGTTTTTTTGTTTGTTTTTTTTTTTTTTTTTTTTTTTTTTTTACCGGCAGCAGGAATTCAGATTAGCTCGGCAGCACTGAAAAGCATTTTCGATGAAAGGCTGAATCACTTGAATAGGCGAGGTATGACTAGTCTCAGCAAATGATACTTTTCAGAGATCCACGACTCAACAAGAGCTGAAAACGCTCGAGAGCACTTGCGCCTGTCGGACCGATTTCGATATTTGAGACATCAAATCTTTGATCGCAGCGGCTTTCCTCGAGAGAACTGTCGAGTACCGAAAAAGAAAGTGCTCCAAATACCGACGAACACATCAAAAGCGGCGAAACCTTTCTACGGCAAAGACGACAGACCCGAACCGACGGACCGAGCTCCTCCCACGAAAAAAAAAAAATCCTCCCCACGAAAAAAAGAAATTTATTCCACGCGCTTGAAACCGAAAGGCCGTCAGACTCGGGGGACGTGGATGCTTTTTCAATAGCTGCCTTCACTTTCGATCCTCTTCGATGCGTATTGGAGCAGAAATTTTAGGCGTCATGCAGCCGTGGCACCAGTCCAGAATGCGTTTCGGGGATTCTAGACTTGAGTTTTTACTCGAGGTTTGTGCGCTTTAAATCGGTTTCTTCTGGTTCTTCTCTTGCCATCGACAAAGGGAAAAATAAAGTCACGCTCTAAGTTATTAGAGCCCTTAATAACTCTAAATGGCTGGGCAACTCCCTTTGCAATCAATCTCTCCGGCGAATTCGGTCTGAAAGCATTCGAACGCAGCTCGTATAAGTTTCATCTTCCCTTATCTTCTGAATAGCCCGCCGATGAATCCTTTCTGGGGTCGTTAATCTTTCATGCTCGAATAATGCTGTAGGGGGAATATTACATTATATTTTGTGGATTCAACGAGGTTCGGGTAACGTGTGCGCGCTTTCATTTCATTTCATTTAACTTAAATCGTGATTGTTTATAAATTTTAGGAAATTAAATCAATTCAAGCAGCTTCCTTAGTTCTGCCGAAAAATGAAAAATTTTCTAAATTTCCATGAAACCTTCCGTCTCTTAACTTATGCTCTATGCTCCTTAACCTATTTAAAAACTTGCGAATGAATTTCTAAAAGGAAACTCCCTTCAGTTGAAAAACCTCATAATTAATATTTTCTTTGTTCCGCTCTAGATGCGCACAGAGACACATCTGACGTGCAAACTAATAATGAATTAGCTTGCATGGTGTGGTAAAGCTGACATAACCGCTATCTAAAAAAAAGTTTATACGTAAGACGAAATTCTTGAAATCGGTGTTTCCAAAGAGGATCCTGCACACGAAAGGGTTAAGTCTCTTTTCTTTGCAGGCTTCCCAAATTAAACAATATTGTAAATGGGACCTTACCATGTTAAATGAACGCGAGCAATGGAATTGGAATTATTATTATTGGAATTATTGTTGGGAACGGAATTCCGATTTTTGCTTCCGTCGCGTGCGCGGAGACTTGCCGTTCCGCTTCGGCGATTATCCTTAAATCACTCTCTCTATCCGCATTCGGGGATTATGGTTATTATGGTCAACGTGAAGAATTTTATATTTATCCTCGTTGAACTTCACGTGCCGTTTTGAACCTCGTATTTTTTTTTTTAACACGACTGTCCTCTTTCTCCGTGGCGGAGAAACCTACTTTCGCGTCGACAGATTCGCTGATTTACCGATTTTACTCGTGGGGCCTTCGTCTAAATCATCGACGTAAAGGACAAGCCGAATCGGTCCTTTGACGGGACTCCGTTCGCCGCGATTGAAGACGTGCCCTCGTTTCCGATTTTCTTTCTCCACGAGGAATTATTTATCAAATTGATAGATTGGGTCCGATTCGGCCCGTAGTTTCCGCGAGGAACGGCATCGAGAGCTTTAGCAAAGTTATCATCCCTGGCTCAAAATGGTAACATTTTAGGAATTTGGGAAAAACGAGAACGCCGCCTCGTTAAGCTGAGCTCGGATTCCCGGATGAGCGAATTCCCATCGAGAAATGGCCAGATATAGGGTGACACGCACGGATCCGTTTAAGCTAAACTGATCTGATCTCACAATAGTTCCCTCTGGGAATCAGATTAACCGAGATAAACTTATTCCCAAAGACGCCCATTATTAAAACGAATCAGATTAGAGTTAAACGGATCTGGCGCATGTCACCCATAATCTCTTTTTGCTTTCTGTGATCTTTCCCCGGAATGCTCGTGAGACTCACTGGGATATAATTCACCCCACTGTAGAAATCTACGGTACCGGTACGACTTTCGCAATTCTAGACCCTTTCAGCAACGAAATGATGTCGAATTGGGAATCTTCTTAAT